GCCGGTGACGTCATCAGTGATGATGACGATGACGATGCGGATGCCGGTGACGTCATCAGTGACGTCACTGATGACGTCATCAGTGATGATGACGCTGACGACGCGGATGCCGGTGACGTCATCAGTGACGTCACTGATGACGTTATCGGGGGTCACGTGACCCCGGGGGTCACGTGACTTGGGGAGCCTCGTGACTTTGGGTGTCACGTGACCTTGGGGGTCGCGTGACCCTGGGGGAGGGGTCACGTGACTTTGGGGAGTCACGTGACCATGGGTGTCACGTGACCTTGGGGTGATTTTGAGGTCACGTGACCTTGGGATGACATTGGGGGTCAGGAGACCTTGGGATGACCCTGATTACGCCGACGGCGACGGTGACGCCGCTCAAGCCGGGAACGGGCCCCTAAGAGCTGCGCTCTAAAAAGTGAAAGCCGTTTACAACTCCCTGTAACGCCGAATTGGAGTGCAGCTCTTGAGGAGGAGTGAAGGGTACTGAGGGGAGGGTAGACCCCTCCTCCTTCTCCTCCTCTTCCCCTCTTCTTTATTATGCTCCGGGGGGGTCACGTGACTTCAGGGAAGGGGGGTCACGTGACCTTGGGGTGTCACGTGGGATCACCTTGGGCGTCACGTGACCTTGAGGTGACCTTGAGAGGGGTCACGTGGCCTCGAGGGGGTCACGTGACCTTGGGGAGGGGACCACATGACCTCGGGGGTCACGTGACCTTGGGCTGACCTTGGCGGTCACGTGACCTTCAGGGGGCCACGTAGGGGTCACCTTGGGGGTCACGTGACCTTGAAGTGACCTTGAAAGGGGTCACGTGACCTCGGTAGGTCACGTGACCTTTGGGTGACCTTGGGGTCATGTGACCTTGGGATGACCTTGGTTACGGTGACGGCGACGCCGCTCAAGCCGGAAACGGGCGCCTAAAAGCTGCGCTCTAAAAAAAAAAACGCTGCAGCTTCCACAAATGCAAGTCAAGGAAACGAAGTGCATGATCATAGACGTCAGCAAGACTGTGCTCTCAATGAAACTACACTCAATTCCCATCAGCATCTCAGATGGCAACGTTGCAAACGCTCTATCTGCGTTTGGGAAAGTCTAAACCATTGTCCAAGACAGGGGCATTCTGGCTATGACTACGACAAGGATTGTTTCGATCGAGCTGAATGATGGGGTGACTGCGGACAGCTTGCCGCACCAGCTCAAGCTTCTGAAAACCAACGGTCTAGTTTTTGTGCCTAATAAGTCTCCGAAATGCCTCCGCGACAGACAGATGGTTCATCTCAGAGGCCAGTGCCACGCCCCTTGGTGCACCACATGTCGGAGTTTCGGTCACGAGTTTGAAGACTGCATTCCAACTTTCGCCAACAAAATAAGCACGTCTCTCGAGAATCCTACCGAATTCTTGAGGGGTACAGAGGAGATTATTCAAACGTAGGCCTCAGCAGAACCCAGCGTGGTTCCTAGAAAGATCAACGTTGAGACAGCTACTTTTACTTAGAAGAATAAAGGCAGGACAACGACATGCTCAGAAACAGAGGACAAAACGAAGAATGACGCAAGCACCATCTCACCCGTAGTTCTTCTCACTGACTAGCAAACTGAAGATAAAACCGAGGAAAAAGAAAATGGACCTAAAATGGAGGAAATATAAGAGAACGAAGCTTCCGGAGAACCAAAAGGAGAGAAAGCACAAGACCCACTTAAAACTGGCTCCACTCGTCCATGAATGAAGATGGAAAGAAAAACAAATCGGGAACAAAATATTTACACCCCAAAGCGGGAAATGATGCTAGATTTTATTCTGTGACCTGCAAAGCTTGTGATTTCAGGGGGGGGGGGGGGGGGGGGGCGATGAACTAAAAACGACTGTCCTTCCCAGTAAGCAATGTTAACTTACCTTCAGTCTTGGCTAAGTAACACCATTTCTGCTGAGGTATTCTTTGGCTAGGGCCCAGCAATTGCTAAAAGTAGGCTAACTCTGTGTTTTTGAAAGAAAAAAAATGCAAATCGTGGCAAAAGTAGGGGTGGGTTATCTTTGGGGGGTGGGGCATCTCTCGGAAAGCTTTCGGGACTGGAGTAACTGCGTAACATATAGAGTTACTCTAGTTCACACGGACAGGCAACGCCGCTCTGATGGTTCAACTAATAACTTATTCAAGATGGCCGCCTTGGTGCCGCTAACTTAAAGGGGTACTGCAACGAAAGTCTAGCGCCAATTTTATTGTTGAAATGTCAGCCACGGTATGGCCACAACGCAGACATCAATGTTTTGCTCTAAAAGAGACTTCCACGTTAATTAAAACGAAAGAACCTAATGACGTTACGTCATACCACACTTAAAAACAGCACCGCTCCGCGCAAGTACGGCAGCAAGCTGCGTCGCGCGAGCACTGTCCTAACTTGTCCCGAAGCGAGTTTCCCTTCTTTCTAGCGCCTTTTCAACTCCTGCAGGGAGCGGGAATCGTGAACAGCCGAGTTGTAACGGTTTGACGCTACCAAGTGGCGAAGCTCACAACCACGCCAGCTTCCCTGTAGCTTTGCCCGTCAGGGAAAACCTGACGCCGGACCTTCCGAGACGCATCAAAATCTCCAAACCCTTACGAAAAAAAAATTGAATTGTAATTTAAAGTGAAATGGTATCACTAAATACACCGCGTTGAGTCTCAATTGAAGCTCAATAGGTTCCGATTGAACCGTCACAACATATTGATCACTGAGTTTTAATTAAATTGTTAGCAATTGCATTTCAATTGATTTTGTGGCAATAATGTTTTTATACAAGCTTTTCAATTGAGTTTCAATAAACGTTTTGCGATTGAGTTTCAATAAAAGTTTTGCAGCTCTTTTTCAATAAACATTTTCGCAGCCGCGTTAAAAACACCTGCAACGTGTGGGGAATTTTTATCTTGTAATTCTTTAATGCATGGAACATGAAAGAAACGGAGAACATGAATGAAACGAACGAACACAAACGTCATAAAGCACTCACAACACACGAATCAGATTTCCTCTGACTAGTCCACAGCCTTATATACCCTACATATGAAAGGAGTGAATTTAGCCGGTTACCACCTCATCCAGTATGCTATCCCCTCCTCGAAAGTCCAATAAATGATAAACAGTGTTTCGACGTCATTGGACTCTACCCCATATAAAATAATATCAATAATATTAAAAGAAAACATTCGTACAAGTAATAATCGTTCAATTAAGTCGCTAAATCCACAAAAGCGATTCCTAGCCGGTCTGTTATCGTTTCTCTGCGTAGCACCATTTAGGACGAAACAACGCACAATAGTTGCTCGCTTTAAATATATTTTTGTTTTCCTTTACGAAGTGAGTATAATAGGCTGAATGATGTCACTATAGGCGCCGACAGACTGAAAACGGCATAGCTTCGCCTTCAAACACCCGTTCTTCAGCGCGCGCTCCACGCCTTCCACCGTGTTTTCACAGCGTGCACGCGCTTGATGTGCACGAGACGTTGCAGCATTTTCGAGGGGGTGATTCAAGCTTGAGGGGAGGCAAGTGAAGCTCCTCCCCGTTGTTCTCACCTTGTCAGGGACCTTAGAGTTATTATAATGCACCCTATATGATTTCCAAGGTGTCAAAATATTTGTATTCCCTTTGTTGCAGAAATGAACTTAAGCAAATATGTTTATTCTGAGAGACATTAGTCTACTCCTGGGTATTTGCAGCTGTGCACTTGCTGGGTTCATCAACAGCAAAGGGCGCAAACCAGCTGATGTCAATGATTCAATCATAAAAACTCGTTTGAATCACTAATGAAGAAAAAAATAAATGCCTGTCAAGTAATAAAACTTAAGTGCATGCTAAGCTAAAAGGAATAAGTGACAAAACAGACTTATATATCTAATGAGTGAACTTAGAATAACCAACATTGAGCTCTTAATAATGAAACTGATTTGCCAATGTAATAAGTTAATTAAAAATAATCGATATTGAGTTCTTGATGATAAAACTCGTTTGCACACCTAATAAGTGATTTGAAAAGAATAGAATTGAGTTATAAATGAGCAAACTCAATTGTATTCCTAATCATTAAACTCAAAATAATATATATTGCCTTCTTAATGAAAAAAATCTAAATTTCATTCTTAATGCGCAAATTCAGAAGAAAATGTATTGAGTTCTGAATAATCAAACTCAATTGCATTCCTAATGAGTTAATTCAACAGAATCGATATTGAGTTTCTTATGACCAAACTTAATTGCGTTCCTACTTAGTATATTCAATAAAATCGATATTGAGTTTCTTATGACCAAACACGATTGCATTTCTAATGAGTAAATTCAATGAAATCGATTTTGAGTTCCTCTTGATAACACTCAATTGCATTCCTACTGAGTAAATTCGATAGAATCGCTATTGAGTTTCTTGTGATAATGCTCATTAGACGTTGAGTTTATATTGAGTTTCAATCGACTCTATAGAATATATTAGAAACTCAATTGAAACAAATTAATTTCTGTAATGGATCGATGCTCATCAAGTACTCTCTGGAATCGGCAGTTTGAGATTTTAAGATACAAACGTGCGATTGTCATTAGCAGATTTCGTTAATCCTGTTTAACTTATTTTCGAACGTGAGAGGTATATTTACATTTTAATTTCAGTGCCCTTTTAATTCAAACGACCAAAAGAAGGTATTTTTACGGTCGGCGTCACGAGAACGCAGGTTGATTCACTGATTTTGAGCTGCCTTTAGACTGTCCGTGTGAATGCGTGTAGGCAATGACGGTACTTAAAAAAATGTATAACATAACAAATGGAAGCTGTGTTCCAACAATAAGAAATCAGTCGTCATGTTGAGCTTCTCAGGGCTTATGATATATTTAGCGTGAAACGTCATCAGACCTTGGACGTGTGCGAAAACTCCTGACGGTGTTCGGCTTTTCGCATGCACCCCAGATGAGTCAGGGTTTGGGAACGTCTGATGTTCAAAACTAAGAGATGTCGTTTTATAAATCTTACTTTCCGTCAGAGATGTCTTTGCCAAGACGACCACTGCTCCGGCGAAAATACATCCGTACATGGCGACGTAGTTATCGATGCTATTGTCCAAGTGTACACAAACGTGATCGCCGGGTTGGACGCCGTGAGCTTGGAACCCCGCGGCGAAACGCTGCATCTGAATCAGGCATTCGGCGCGTGTCAAAGCTCGTGAATCGTCTACCTGCAGGAAAAATAATAAAAAACACTTTTATTCTACGGTTTGTTCATACGCTGTGATTCCTGTGGTAATTATGTGTGTAATACCGTGGCCTAGCAGACACCCAGTAAATATCTTTAAAAGTAGACTCCGCGTTTGGTAGGCCCTCAAAACGTTAAGTTGTAATTTGACGAATTCCAAAAGCGTTCAACGCTTCCTTCGTTTCAGTGCTACTCGGCCGTGACCAGCCCTTTCTTCCACTGGTTCACAAGAGTCGTACTTGTAAACGAACGAAATCCGTGACCGGCGGAAAGACAGGCGAATTCCGCTGGTCGTTTTGGAGCGCGCCGGGATCGACTTTTCTGGAGCGAACCTATTTCACTGGGCGATCGGCATCGAGACGGACGTGTTCCACAGGTCACTTTGGATTAGCTCCCGCTCCAGATCTCGATCTGAATTCGAGAAAAGTCGCTCCCACGATTTTGGCGGATTCAACCGGAAGCCAGCCGGACCAGCCCTCGGTGCACACCCGTGACTTCCTTTCTCGCGGGGCATCTCGCCTGATCTCGCCCATCTTGCCTCAAAAAAATTCGTAATGGCCGCTTGCTTAACCCTCGGCTCGACAGGTTCGTTTTCCAGGAAGGAGAAGAGAAGGTTTTGCCGCGCTACGGGCATTCCGGCAATCTTTGCTAGAAGCTCCTGAGCCATTCCTGCCGCTCGTGCGTCGAACACGTGTTAGCGCCGCGACTGCGAAAACGTCTTCGAAACGACAGCGGCGGCCGCGGAAAGGGGATTCGCAGGCAGTTGAGTGACGGGAAGGCATCCGCCGATCCCGGAGCAGTGGTCATGTTCCATTGGGGATCCGTAGGCAGCGCGACCCCGTTCGGATTGTGTGCTCCATTCCGGATCTGGCCAACTGATCCCGGCGCGCTCCAAAACGCCCAGTGGAATTGGCGATAACCGTGAGGAAACTCCACAAAGCGTTTTAAGCACGCTTAACCTGGTTGCCAAATCCTGACCGTCCCTCAACAGGCCATGTGCCTACCAACAAAATGCCACCACCACCGTCAACAGATCGAGACACTATTAGCTGTAGTGAACTTTCTACTGCAAGCTTCTAAGCCCTACATGTTTTTTTTTTTTTTTGGCTGGCGTGTTCATTGTTCGTCGTCACATCAACCCCGTGCTGTTTACCCTGGTTCCGCATGCAGTACGGTGACAAAACTGCGGCATATGTTGCTCAATCGACAATCGAGGTTGAGAACCAACATACAAAGGACAAGTAGAAGACTGGAGAGGACAAGCGCTTCTATAAAAGATGTCCTGCCTTCTATAAAATTGAAGTCTATGCATGCTTATACAACCTAGAACTTAGTTTACCCTAACGGGTGACTTTTCTCCCAGCTGTAGATGAGACATTTAGCCAGTGCAGTACAACCGCTCACCTGGGGTCTTTAACGTGCATGACGCAGTAGCCATATACGACCGCACGCCGGTACGATGCAAGTGTGCAGATTGAACCCAGGATCCCTGGGTTCTGCAGCGCGAGCTTTCGCTCTACGTGCTCCGAGCTGGTGTGCGCTAGACCAGCCGGCCACCGAGCCCCCTTCCTCTCTTCTACTTGTCCTTGTCTTTCGCGCTAATTGTTTTTGAGATGCAGAACCCACTAGGCCATCAACTTATCTTAATAAAAAAGTGTGCAGCACGTTTCAACTCTACTGATATTCCTTATTCAACTCGTCGAGGTTGCTAAAAAAAACATTATGTCTCGAATGGTCTATTTCAAAGTACAATTGTGGCCAGATTTTTTTAGAGAGTTTGTTTCTGCTGATCGTTAAAAGTTTCATGGCGTAACAGCAACGATGATTATGCTGCACAAAGCTAGATTTCGAGCGAGACAAATTCCTATATTCAGGAATAAGAGGGAAGCAAGGAAGAGAGGACAGAGAGACTAGGAGAGAGAAGGAAGACAGGGGCGTCGCTTACGGTGATATGAACATTTGTTATTGCTCACTGTTCAATAAAAGAGTTGCGAACTGCGTTGTTACTTACCAGCATAATTTTTTCTGGAGAAGTCTTCAGCCGCTCACTTGTGATTGTGTAGAACGAACACTTCGGGATATCACAAGGCGGGAAAGGTGAATGCACAACGCCGTCCTCAATTCGCGTTTTTGTCGGTGAGTCTGCATTCGCAAAAATTTCCATGATCAAGAAAACATCATCTCTACTTGTTCTAATGACTTATGGAATATATCACAGGCAACAAACAATGACTTTGAATATACCCCAAAGGTCTTAAAAGTATCAGAGTAGCATGATTTATCGGGGTTGTTTAGAAAAAATGACAGCGAAGAAAGGCGAGATTAAGCAGGAGCGTACCGTTGACCGATATTTAGTAAGGAAAAAATAAGCTTATCTGCACATTAACGTTTAAATATATTTCTCTTGCGTGAGGGGGCATAAACAGTAAACCGAGTTTCCCACATTGTCTAGCAACATGTGGCTTTAGCGGTTTTACAGAATGAGATGTCAAACTGCGCGATTGCGTCAGTGGGCCTTTTCCGACGAAATCATGTCCGCCATTATTTATTTAGTAATGTTGTGCTGCTGAAAGCGCGGAGGCAGCGGGCTCACCACACGAATGGTTCCGGTCTTTCAGTTGCTTGCGTTGAAAGCAAACGAGAAAGCAGAAATGTTTCGGTGGCGCCCTCTTACGGTTTCCGTTAGTGACTTCACGACTAGACTTTTCTACGCCGTGACGTCATGAATTTTAATCGTCGACTGCTCATCACCAGTTCCGAACTATTGTGTGTAAAAGCAACAATGGAAGTTTGTGGTCATCGCATTCTCAAGTCATCATCGTCGCAGTTGACACAAACATTTCGCCGATTTCCGTCGACGAAAGAAAAATGAATCCAGATAACTACGTCAATGGGAGCGTTTAGGCAGAGCGACGCTTTTGATCGCGCACGACGCTAATAGCACGTGCCGGCGAGTGCAAGGATTAGTTAGATGTGCGAAGCAATTATGAATCAAACAGTCTGCTCCATTATTCTTTTCCGTTCGTGATTGGTTGGTCAGAAGTGACGTGACCGACGCGTCTCTTTCTTGTTTTGGTTACTACGCAGAATTAACACCTCCTACATAAGAAAGCCTATGTGCCGAATTCTCCAGCGTCACTAAAGCCCACCACAGGCCACAGATTGGACAAGACCACCGTATCAGCGTTCGGATTGAAGCCGTGTTCTCACTGATTGGACACGACTCCTAGCCGAGCGCTAACCACGTAGTCATGTCCAATCATTGGCGTACGGAGGCCTTCTTTAGTGACGCAGAAAAATTCAGCACTTATGCCTCGTGCACACCTGCGAACCGGCTGCCGGATCCGCGAGAATTTCGACGCCCGGTGACGAAAGCAGGCAGAAATTCCGGCGGAGAGCAAGATCGTTCAGGGGACCAAGTTTGAACGCCGAAAAGAAGTTTTCTCTCGCCGCAAGCCAATCAGAACGCACGGGGAAAGTGGCGGTTGATGACGTCAGATCACCGCTGACGAGCTGGCGACGATGGCGACGAGACGCGCGCGAGCAACGAGGAGGTTTAGGAACTCTCGTCAGCTCCTCGTCTGTTCAAAAAACTGCGAGACGCTTGCGCCGCGCACTCCGCAGGCGGCAACAAATGTGAACGGCCCAATGTTTTCTCGGCGAGCGAATCTAGTAGGCGGCGAGTGCGTATTTCGAGAGTGTGAACGAGCCATTAGGCTTTCGTATCTAGGAGTGTTGCCATGCGAGGCACGGTTGCTGTGGTAACTATGTCGGTCAGTTGCTCAAAATTCAAATGAATCGTAGCTAAGAACAAAATGATATGTACTCGTCTATCAATTAATACACTGAGTTGTGCGCTCATAACAAGGCTGGGACCTTAGCAACAGTTAAGAAAGTTACAAAGAAAACATATAAGTTACGGGATTAGAATGTATGAATAAGAAACCGGTCCTTATCCAGCAACAGCTAGAGCTAACCTGTGACATCCAAACCATACTCACACATGTTTCTTACGGAAAGCACTGATGGCGGCTCACAAAGTCTGCGTGCAAAGGCTCCAAATTGATGCCAGCAGCTGTCTGACTGGCGTGCGGCCCGGGCGAGGCTTGTTGAACCAATAAAAGCTGTCCAGCCGGCCGGCTCTTCACCTCAGTTTTATCAGTGGCTCTTTAGTCATAAGTAGGATTGCCTCTGTTCCACAGCGAAGGGAAAACGAGTAAACAAGGACGATTTCAGATAAGCTTGAGGAAGAAGGGGGCTAGTCGAGTTTTTTTATTTGCTGTATATTAGTATATATCACTTATGCATAGTATATAAACACATGTATCTATGTCCGCACAGAAAAAAAAAAGTTGCGTAACAAAAATGTAAACAAATTAAAATGTAAGCATACGTATTTACGGCCACCCCCGAAGTGGTCGTGCTTGAAAGTAAATAACTCAATACATTTAGGAGAAAACTAATAGTTATTTAAAAGTTATCTATGAATCTTGGTAAGCTTTTGCGAATAAAAGTAATTATTAATTGAGTAACGTGCATTTTTCTAAAATACTTTTTAACGTGAAACCTCTAGCGATTACCTTCAAAGTTTGGAGGCCTGCATTGTAAAACGAGATATTTGAATGACACAAGTGAAAGGTTATTATTATTATTAGGCATATTGTCCTCACATATAAATATAAGACTATATATATATATATGAAGTATTTGATACAGTTACCGTGATATTTTTACGCAAATACGTAATAAAAAAAATTCTAACGCCGCAAAAAAAAACAAAAAAACACAGAACATTTTGTTTATATTTTATTACAGGTCCCAGCTCTGTTTCCCGGCACCCTACGGTTCAACCTTGACCCGACCGGACAATACAATACTGAAGAGCTGTGATGGGCGCTAGACAAATCTTACCGAAGCGATTTCTACAGAAAAAAGGAAATTGCCCCTTTCCTTCACTATCGTGGCTAAAGCAGTGAGTGATAACACAGAATGAGATGGAGCGTCGAGCTAGACGCTATGGCAGCGCCGCCATGTCTAGCACCGCGGCTATTCTGGCACCAAGACCCTCGGGAGGAGACATACACGAACGGAGAAGATGAAAGCTGCGCCCTGCTGCGGTTTCCTCAAAAATGACGCTATCCAAAAAACGCACAAAAAAACAAAACAAGAAAAAACGGAAAACGCGCTTGTGGTAAAACTTGTTCAACCGTAATTTTGATGGTCACTGATTTTTATTGAATTTTCACAGTGTATTTGAATAAATTTCCTGAGCATGTCTACACAATATCTCGGCAAAATATAAATTTTCTTAGAAGAAAGTGAGTTTTGAAATTTACGCGTACGCGCCCAAATCTCTTGCTGCCGCTCTATTGGCCAACACTGAGCAAGAGCGGCGCACAGGGGATGCTATGATGGCGCTGACGTGGCCGGAACGAATCATGTTATTGAGGGTCGTTTATTTATTTATTTATTTATTTATTCATTTTACCCTCAGGGCCAGAGACAATACAAAGGGAAGTGGTGAAAAAAAAAGAAGAAAACAGTACAACGATAAAAACAAACAATAAACAAGGAGTTAAGAAAGGGGAAAACATGGATACTGACACTTGAACAAAAAAGAGCACAATCAACAATTGATTCGATTGATGCAGGCAACTGGCATCTATACCTTTCAAACTCTCCTGAGAAATTAGGGAAAATATTTGTTAGAGCGGCGAGAAGGTATGCCTACTTTGTGATTGTGATCAAGACGAGCTGAAACGAATTGATAGGGATATTAGCTTATTTTTGAGTGCTGAGTTGTGGTAGAATATATTTTTGAAAAAGACAAATGCTAGCAAATCCACGGCGATGTGCAAGACTTGGTAGAAGTAAGGTGATTTTTTATTGACGTAACACTTGCTGTACGATTATAATTAGCCAGTACAAAGCGTGTGGATTTGTTTTGGGTGAATTCCATGGTTCCAATTAGAACCTTAGCGTTAACAAAATCCACTAAATCAACTCTTTTTAGAACGACTTGATGCTCGTGGGAAACTCGGGGGCGCACCCAAGGTACTTTCCGTGAAGCAGGCGCAAAGTTGGCAGTGGCAAAACGCGGTTGATTAGATTATCGTCGCGTTCCGCCACTGCCAGCTTTGCGCCTGCTTCACGACTAATAACACTCGTGCGCCCCCGAGTTTCCCACGAGCTTCAAGTCATTAAAAAAAGAGTTGATTTTGTGGTTTTCGATGACGCTCTCTACGTTTCTAATTCGAACCATGTCTATTTTCACTAATTAAAAAGTTAACTAACGAATTTTAATTAATTAGCCGACTTATCGCGAACATCATCCACCCACATAATGTCCCCCTGGCCGTATAACTCACCTGCACAAGCTGTATAAGTGTAACTTTCACGGCGTTCTTTTTCTTTAACAAATTTGTAAAACAAATAAAAACAGAGAAAAACTGTATATGTTTTTTCATGAGTATTATTATAATTATAATGATTGGAGGCTTTATGACGCAAAATGCAACTGACGCTAAAGTGCGCAAACTGGTTTGTTCATTCCCATTCTAGTTAAAATGGGATGTTGCCCGTCATTACCATAGGTATTAAAGCTGGTGCAAAAAGCCAGTGTTAGAAATAAAACTGAGCACTCGTTTAAATGGGATAAGAGGGGAATCTCCTCGTAAAATGTATACGATATCTAAACAATTCAGGGAAATGATTCCGTCGTTTTTCATCAAGACCGGAACAAATCCATAGAATGTGTAGGATGGAAGCATCATCCCCGCACTGTATATATTGGGGTGGGTCCTCTCCGCGGAGGAGATATTTCTGGGTTATATAGGAATGGCCTATGCGAAGGCGACATAACAAGAACTCATGAAATCGATTTTTTAAAGAGGCATTCTCCCACAGTCCAAGAATGGGCTTGGTGAAGTGAAGCTTATTGTCGGATTCTTCGTCCCATTCTGGGGTGATTCCACGTCAGTTCATGCAATGATGGTCCGGGTCATAATTTTGATATTTTTGTTAAAACTATAT